TTCGAATGAATCAATTGAATGAATGATTCAGTGATAAAATCAGTGACTTGCCGCCACCTGCTGGCAGTTTTAGCTTTATTTTTAAAGTATCTTTTCAGTTATTTAAATAATTTAATATTTCTATATTCAAAATTTTATATTTAAAATATTAATCTCATCATGAATTTATGGATTTAATTGCACTCATGCCACTTCTGAACCTCATTAAATGTCTGAAAGTACATCAAGCCACTTTTGTGTTCTTCTGTGCCACCTCTACAAATTAATTTTGTTAATACTGATTTCATTTGATTGGTAACTTATGTTTCTTATTCTACTTGTTCTTATTCTGTCGTTTTAATTACAATTTTTAAAAAGCTTATAAAATATAAATTTTAAAGAATTTGACAAAAGATGACATACTTTTAATGAAGTTAGAAAAATGCCATTACAAAGGTAAAAACAAAATTCCACTTTAAATCACTTTAAGGAGTCAAATATCACCTCGTAATGGGAAGGCAAATTTTTGATAACATTTTGGATTATTGATTAGAAGGTGCTTCTAAAATTTTGAACGTGCTCCTAAATTTTTTAAGTTAGGAGCACAAGTGCTCCTAAAAAGAAAAATAAGTGTAGAGCCCTGCCTGAGTGAGCTGTCATCAGTCCGCCATTACTTCGATGCCGGAGCAGTTGTAGATAAGAATGACTCCTTAAATCGGGTGTGTTAGATGAGGGAGACAGTGCTGGGCTGCTCCAGGACAGTTTTGAAAGCCATTTCAGAGACATGTTGTTCTTAATGTAACTCATATATAATATATTGCATGCATATTGCATACCATTTACACACTCGTTTGACTTGTCTTGACATTTAAAATAACATGTCTATTTGAATATACAGTATTTTAAAATGTAATTTTTGTGGTGCAAAGCTGAATTTTCAGCATCATTACTCCAGTCTTCAGTGTCACGTGATTTTTCAGAAATCATTCTTGCTGATTTGCTGCTCAAGAAACATTTTTTTTTTTTTACCAATGTTGAAAACAAGTTGTGCTGCTTCATATTTTTGTTGAAACCATGATGCATATTTTTCAGGATTCTATGATCAATAGAAAGTTCAAAATTACAGCATTTATTTGAAATAGGAATCTGTTATAACAAAGTCTTTACTGTCACTTTTGATCAATTTAGTGTGTTTGCTGAAAATGTTTTATGTATGCATGTATGTATATGTAATTATTTACTTATTTATTTTTTTCTGGGGAAAAAAATCCCACATGTGTGTCTAGCTAGTATTTCATTATGAACATACAGTAACCAAAGCCAAATCAATGATTCTTAATAGTTGAGGGTCAAAGGTCAAGTCTGCACCCTTCTGCCAGACACAGGCATTACAGTGTACCCTTCACATCCTCTGCATGCTCTGTCCCACACGCAGGCAGAAATATTTAGCAGAGTGTACTATTTAAGGAAAGAGAGAGAGAACGTCAGCATCATGCTGAGTTTTTATGAGTGCTCTATTTTTCAGTCTAACGTCGAACATTTAACTGAGAAGATGAAGACCAGCATCCAGAGAGGTTTAGTGCTCAGGTATGATCTAGCTCTCTTACATACAGCATGAATACACTGGATTTGTGTATCATGTAGCTCTATATGTGTAGAAGCAGTGAGGTGTGATTGTATGTGTGTGTCTGTATTTTACAGGAATGAGAACTGCAGTGAGAACTACACCACTGACTTCATCTACCAGCTGTACAGTGAAGAGGGCAAAGGAGTCTTTGACTGCAGGAAGAACGTCCTGGGACACATGCAGCAGGTACAAACACACACACACATTTGCTTACACACACAAATGCAATTGTGGACATGATCAGAATATTGTTCATCTGCTGTGTAGGGTGGTGCTCCTTCCCCATTTGACAGGAACTTTGGCACCAAGATCGCTGCTAAAGCCATGCAGTGGATCTCCAAGAAGCTCAAAGAGTTTTACAGAGAAGGTAAAGAGAAATCACTCCTGTAGAGATGCAGAACTGATTTGTGTTACAAGAGCAACAGAAAACATACATATTCAACACTGCTGCAGGAAATTAAATGCTGATAGTCTTAGAGCACATTTTTGCACCACATACATTTATATAATTCTGTAGCTAAGAATTATATAAATAAATTATATATACATATAAATTATATATCATTTATACATACATATATATAAGTAACTAAAAGGATCGTCATTTTCATGATAATTTTTTTTAGTGCATCTGTGTTTGCTATACGTATGGGTTGCACAGATTTGGATGTAAAATTTGATAACATGTTTAATGTAAAGCACTAAAATATAATAATAATAATAAATATCAATAAATAGTTTGACTATTTTTGTTATATGTTTTTAAAAATGTTATTACATTAATTGTGTGTGTGTGTGTATAATACAATTAATAATAATTTAATAATAAATTAAATACAATAATATTAATACAATATTGGTATTTTTTGTAAAGATTTTTTATAACAAATTTATACATTATATTAAGAAATATAATATAATAAGAATTATATATTAAAGGTGCACTAAGCGATTTTTGCCAAACGATGTTGATATTTGAAAGCACCAAAACAAACACGTCCATACCCCAACAGGACCTCGCCCTTATTTTGAAATCTCCGCCCCACACGTACGTACACAACCATGGCAACGACGATCGTGGAAACAAATGAAGATGACACACAAGCATATTCAAACAAAAGCCAACACGGATAAGTTGTGTGAAACGAAGCAAAATCAACGTTATTCTTTTTAATGTTTTGTTTCTCTGATATTTTCCTGTTTTTTTATCTGTCATCTCTCTATCTATAATCGTTCTGCTAATAGCATTCCTGTGCACTCAAATTGAGCGCTCTTTTCTCGCTATCATTACAAGACACGCTCCCTTATTGCTGATTGGCTACAAGTGTGTTTTAAGACTCGGTCCGACGCTGTGGTCAAAAGCGTTTTTCAAAAATCACTTAGTGCACCTTTAATATAAGAAATGTTTGGTCTTCACTGTCACACAGTGCTATTTTATTTTGCTCTTTGTATTTTGCTTTCCTTGGTTGGCTCAGGTGAAGGTAAGTTATTTGAATCTCAAAATGATATTGTTTGAGTTCACTTGAAGCAGTGTTATTATGCTTATATCTTTGGTCATTTTGCACTGCTTGTAGACTTTGTGCAGTACCATATTTTTGTGCGTTTCGTAGGCCGTGTGTTTGCGAACTCCGAGGATTCTGCGTGTTTGTTGGGGATGCGGCGCAGGGCCCTGGTCTTCCAGCCTGTCATACAGCTGAAGGATGAGACAGATTTTGTGTAAGACAACAAGCATGCTTCACAAAGCTGATTCTATTATCTTAAAAATGATGTCCTAATATTTGTTTCCAAGGCTACTCTTAAAGGATTCTATTTTGAAACATTTTACTTTTTTGGTAACACTATACTTAGAGCCTTTATGTGTAACATTATTCACGTATTCATAATGTACAAAGTAATGCATAATATCTTTTTATAAATAATTGCAAACAAAGTTAAAATGCAATATCATTTTTGAAGGTTTGTTTGTCATGCGTTTTAATGCATTATACTTAGTTTCTACAGGTGTAACATTGAATAGATTAGTATAATAATATATTATAACTGTGGTTATAATTATTCTAAAGATCATGCAATGCATTATAAGGTGTATTACAATGCATTCAAATTACTCTTATAATATATTAAAGTGTTGCCATTTTTTCCTCAGTCAGCCATGAATATTAGTATTGTAATTTTACAATTGTACTGTACAATAAAATTATATTATTTTCTTAAATACTTATAAAGTATATATTTTTTATTTTAGAGTGAAATATATAAATTGTAATATTTATTACTTTGTTTAATATTTTGTGTATTGTCAAATTGATGCACAAATCACTAAATTGGCCAAATTCTGTAGCCCTGTAAACAAGCATTAACATTAATAATAAAAGTGTAACGTTAAAAAATGTTTCGTGCACCAAAAGCAGTCATAATTTAGTCTTAATTTAGTTGTTACTTTAATTTTAATAAATGGTCCGGGTGGACTTGAGAAGGAGTTTAGAGTTGTCTATGTCTTCATAATACATTCTTTTTAACTCAATAAAGCATAATTTGTAAATTATGTAAATGATTCCTTATGTCTTCCATTATATATTCCCTTTAAAAAAAAATCACATTAAAAACATTTTAAAATGACAAGTTCCTTTGACCTGATACTGTTCATGTTTTATTTCCAGTCACAGGATCCCGAAGGAACAGTGGTGGCTCCGACTGCGTCCGCTCATGAAGATTCTGGCCAAGTACAAAACCAGCTACGACGTGTCCGATTCAGGCCAGCTTGAACACATCGTCCGTCTGAGGACTAAAGACATCTCTGCCATTTAAAAGCAGCAGCCCCATGTAAAACCAAATTGTCTTGCAAGTAAAAATGTATTTATTATAGGTGAAGACCTGTGATTCCATAGTCTTGACCTGAACACAATCATATACAGTATATGTAAAGCAGTTCTCTTTAAACTGTAACCATAGACGTACAGCCACGAGATCCTTCAATATAGTAGCTCAGTGTGTTGTGATTGACAATCCATACGCTCAAGCGATTAGCTGATCATCCCTTTTAAATGGGGCCAAGTGGTATATTTTGTGAATATGCAAAATTTCCATATTTATTCTAATATTCTTATTTTCATTGAATATGGAGCTATCTGTATGAATGCTTCACTGGCTTATAGTGATGTTATTTCACAACTGCACCTTGTTTTAGTTGATTGGAGTCTGAAGGAGTTTTCCAAGCTGCTATTCTGTGGTGTGTGTTAGTGCAGGCACTTTGTGCCAAGGCAGACGTTGTGTTAGTGTGTGTTTGTTATGATGTACACGCTAACAATGCTGCATAAACTCCCTTTAAAATGTAATTGGTGTGGTTTGTTTCATTATTAATCCTTGTGCATCAATTTTAAAAAGTTACTCTAAGGTCATTAGAGGACAAAAATGTCAGTGCCAAAACAAAAAAAGTCATTAAAATTTGAAACTTAGGAGTACAAGTTTAAAAAAAAAATCATTCTAGTTAAACATGGTCACGTTTATTATAATTCTATACATCTCATAAATAATTTCTAACTTATAAATCTCACTCAAATTACAACACTGCAGAATCATATGAGCGTTTTTCGACGTTGTTATAAAAAGATGGAGTCCATTAACAACATGTTGTGTAAACAAAAGTAGTCTTAGAGAACTTTAATTCAGGTTCTTTAAGCACCTCTGTTCCTCATGATGACTCCTGTAAGGAAGAAAACACATTCTTCTAACGGAACAAGACTTGATTTGTGTGTGATCCAGGAGTGTGTAGTCATTAAAATTTGAAACTTAGGAGTACAAGTTTAAAAAAAATAATAATTCTAGTTAAACATGGTCACGTTTATTATAATTCTATACATCTCATAAATAATTTCTAACTTATAAATCTCACTCAAATTACAACACTGCAGAATCATATGAGCGTTTTTCGACATTGTTATAAAAAGATGGAGTCCATTAACAACAAAAGTAGTCTTAGAGAACTTTAATTCAGGTTCTTTAAGCACCTCTGTTCCTCATGATGACTCCTGTAAGGAAGAAAACACATTCTTCTAACGGAACAAGACTTGATTTGTGTGTGATCCAGGAGTGTGTGCGCGTGTCTTTCACAATCCTAATAATAAGAAGAGAGGTAAAAAGTCTATTTGACCACCCAGGATGGGTCTTTTCTGATGCTTTCATTTTCCGGGCCAAGAATAGCCACTCCACATGTCTGCTGACCGACACCAAGATACCTGTTTAACACACACACACACAAAGTAAATATTATATGAATACAAAAAAATATAAATATAGCACCAGTATTCAAGCATAAATATTTTTTCCAATTGAATTTATTATATTTTGATTAATTGATTTATGTATATATAAATACACATGCATGTATATTTATTGAAAATATTTACATGCATATATGTATATTCATATAATTTATAAATGTGTTATTTAATATATAAACATAACATTTTTAAATATAGCCTAAACATGCATGTGTGTGTATTTATATTCACATAATAAATATACACAATACACACACATATATTATGTACACAAAAACACTTATTTTGAATGCGATTAATCGTTTGACAGCACTAATAATTATATTATATACATTTAAATGTTTTATTACCTGCCAGCGACGTCAATGAGGTTTTTATCAGTCACAGCGAACAGTCTCTCTCTGTATCTTTGTTTCATCTCATCTGTAATGCCGTTTAAAAAACGCCCCAAACCTACAGCACAATAACAAGGTCCTGGTGAACTAGAGAGCAAATATCCAAGAACACAAACTCAACAACATCCAAACACCTGAGACCTGTAGCACAAAGCCGGTTTTGATTTTTACCCAGGTAAGCTCGCGTTTCATTTGAGCAAACTCTTGAGTTTTCGGGTTCAAGAAGGTGGGTTGGTTTTGAGCGGGCTTCGTCACCATGGTAACTTAGCTACCCTGCTCCGGAGCAGGTTTTATTTGGTTTAGAAATCGCAAACCAAAAATGGACCAATCAGCTGTGAGCAAAGTGGCTGATACAATGAAGCCACTCCCCGTATCTCTCACTTCAAATTAAAGCAGTTTACAGTCAGACAAAATTGCTCGACTTTTGCTGCTACTTATTTATTATATTTATAGTATATAATTGATTAAAATTAATATATTCATGTAATTATTATATAAAGTGGCAATTAATTTTAAGCTTTGCATTTAAATTAAATATATATATATATATATACACACATATGGATACGCGTTATTATATCCAGCTTTTAAAATTACTAAACTTACGTTTTCCTTTTGAGCTTTGTGTGAAACTATATAAATAATTAAATTCAGTTGATTCCTTTTGCATAGTCATATTTTCTTTCCGCTGCCTTCTCGAACTTTTGCTGCAGCAGAAGTGTTTATTCCTGCCTTAAGTTGTAAATGCATTTGAATGTATTCAATTTTTAATAACATCTCAATCTTCAGCAGAAAAGTGAACTGCGCTGACTCTCGCGAGAAGTGAATCCAACTAAAGATTAGCCTTTTGTGTACCACACTTTGTGTGATTGGCTGTTTGCTGCATGTGTCACATTTAATCAAAAACTCTGCGAGTTGACAAGAACGGTTATATCGAGCTTTGTGAGCCCAATGAACCTGATTCTAAGCCAGGTTGGATTTGTTTGGTTTTGTCTAGAGATGCACCGACTGCAATTTTCTTGGCCGATTCCGATTACCGATTTTTTTTGTAAGTGTGACCTGCCGATACCGATTTTTGCCGATTCTGATTTAGTTTCTAAAAACTATAATTGACAGCATATACAAACAAAAATCTATACTTTAATGGAAAAAAATATTTACATAATTAAAAATTATTAAACATTACAATTCCCCCAATCTGGACAAAGTTACAGATGTTCTCTCACTTAAACAACTCTCAAAATAAAGTGCTCTGTGACTAGAAAAGAGGTAGAAATCTTTCCCATTAAATTCTTACATCGTTTCAATTATTTCAGTTAGAATAATGAGAAACTGTAGAGCTGTTACTACCATTCAAATGAAATCAGTAATAACAAACTCCATCTTTCCACTGCAGGAAACACAGAAGCTGCATCTGAAGTGGCATTAGATGTATTTGCACAGACTGTTTGATGAAGCTGAGGTGCCATTAATGCATTTACACTGCAAAATTTCGAATGCATGAAAAATTGTATACGATTAATGTTTTAAAAAATGTTTTAAACATACAAATAAAAAATGTTGGGGAAAATGCAATGATAGTTTTAAATATGAAACCAAACCAGTAGGTGGCGGCAAATGACAGTTTGAATGAGTGAGCCATTTAGTCCTTCAACAGATTCGTTCAAATGACTGATTCATTCAGAAACGAGGCAAGTCACAATGGTCTTTATGAATGGGTTACTGAATCAACGACGAACTTGATTCGTTCAAAAACGTGCATTGCAATCATGCTGAAACATCTTGGTCGTGCAATGTTGCGTACCTACATTTTTTTTATTACATGCATCTAGAAATTTCTGTGTGTGCTGTTGCGCTCATTTATTTTGATTTCTGCACAAGTCTCGCTCACACTCTCACTCAGGCTGCGCAAGCCTCATCTTGCATGACAAATACATTATCGGCTACCGACCTGGCCGGTCGATCGGTGCATCTCTAGTTTTGTCAACTCTAAACCTACTCTGAAACTCTCAGCTAGCTTCATGCAACAGGCTATTGACAGGCATTTAAACAAAAACAAAACAATATTTAAGCACCTGAACATTTTAAACACTTCTACACTTCCCAAAATGTAAACAACAATCAAATCACAAAACATCCACGTGTACAAACATCTAAACCAGGGTTACCCAAGAAAAGCTAATAATCATAAATTTTTTTTACATTTTAAATTTGAAAAAGAACCGTGAATCCTTTGGAAACCTAAAACAACTATAGTAATAATTCACAGATGGGCTAAAATGTCATTCAGTGTCCAAAGACACAGCCCACATTACTGACCCTTATCTGAGGGGGCGACAGGTGCATCAACGGCTGAGAAAACTGAGAGCTTGGCCTCATCGATGTCCTGCTGGGTAAACTTTGCCGCTCGCGCCCACTCTACTCCGCCACGGAAAGCCGACAATGTCTGGGTGGAGTTCGGATCTCTGAGAGATTGCCATGATAAATCAGATAATAAAACATGATCAACTTGGAACTTAAACATCATTATATATGAAGGAAACACACTAATGGATACATTGTATCAGATCCAATGAAATGTGTAATATGTACCTATAGGAATAAAATGAGAACAGGCCGCCTCCTCCCATTCTAGCTCCGCCTCCATAAGCCCCACCCTTTTCTCTGATCTCTCCATGCAGGAACTTGGCAGTCATCATCCTTGCTAAAATACACAGACTGAGAGAGAACAACAGATGACAGATTGTGAATAAGCAAAGGACTGCATGATTAATCAAAATAAAACCATAATCGTGATATCAATTTAATTCAATAAATATGTGCGTGTAAACTTGTAATGAGAATGAGCATAATGAACATTGTTTTCCAAGAGTGTGTTTGTTGTACCTGGCGTAATCGGCGTGTGTGAACGGGACGGCCCGCACACACTCGCTGACAAAGTTCACATTAAACGGAAGCTGGAAATACGTCTTCATCTGACAGGGTTTAAAATGAGGCTCCTGGCAGGATGAAGAGGGAGATCGGTGAGAACGCTACGGATCAATCAAACCTGAATGTTGCTGTAAGCGCACTCACTGAGATAAGTTTCCGACTCGCAGATGATCCAGCTTGAGGATCTAGTGCTCTCTACGAGAGGAAAAACAAACAAATCAAAGCTTAACTGATTGTGAAAAGTTGTGTCTTCTAAAAAGAAAAGTGTGGCGTCTCACCTCCACAACGGTTGGTCTGACAGGTTTGCGCTCCTTCCTGTTGGCTGCTATATTACCTATAAACCTCTCCACCTCTCCAGCTGCTTCTGACATTTTCTGCGGCGTGGCGTTCACTGCACACCTGAAACCATGGCATCATAATCACATTTGAATGTAAATTTATAGTCAAGTTATTTGTTAAAAATTGTATTTTGTTTATTCACTTTAAACATTTTTTTTCTAATTCTTATTTTAGTTATGTAATGATATATGATTATGAGTTTATGTAATGATATGGTATGGTCACTTATTATGGTTGACTAAAACTGAAAGTAAAACTAAAGCCATTAAAAGCTACTTGAAATAAAAACTAGCAAGTAGTTTTACTTTAGTTTGATGTACTAAAAAATAAAACTTTAATATAAATTAAAAAAAACTACATAGACATATATAAAAACCCCAAAACTATTAAAAGTTACAAAAACACAATAAAATAACTAAAACAATTAAAATGAAAACACAAAGTATAAAAATAAAAACATTCAAAATATTATTATTAATTT